TTTAAAAATGACTCCATGCAAGCATGAGCCATCAATCAGAACTGTAGTGATGAATAGAAATATTTTCCATTTCTTTTTCAGTACATATACCACCCACACATTTGCATTTTAGAGCTGTTTACTCTGGGTGCACTAGAGCTGTTACTCCTCTAGAAAATGTAACCATGTGCTTTGTACTTTCACAGAGTGAAAGATAAAGTAAAATGTTCACAATTATCTAAAGTATGAACCGAATATACATTAATGAATAAAGCGTATATAGAAATATAGATATCATATACATATGTGTGAATAATATATCATCACGAATGTGAGTGAAAGCATGCATTGTCACAACTCTAATGAAGAGAAATCAATAGCTCAAAGATTTCCCAGCAACTTTGATAATCACAGAAGCTAAAAGACTACAGGGAAAAATTTCAAGCCCAGGTTGCCAGAGTCCATATGCTTTCAGTCTCTGCGGGTAACATGCTCTAAATAACTAGATAATGTTGGACACCTTCCAATTCAGAAGCTGGCTTCTTCACTCATGAAATAAAAAATTGCTTCCTTCCAGCCATAAGGCCGAGGTAGAAAGTCTACATTACCCAAAAGCTTCAGTTACTTCTGAGCTTACTTTAGCTTTAAAATAACTAAATGTATCACTTGAACCAGGCACAATCTTATCAATTACAAAGGTATATAGGAGGACCAGTTATGGTTTCAACACACAGCTTTGAATTCCAGCTGCTCAGGAGGCTGAGGCAGGAGGATTTTGAGTTTGGGACCTTCTTGGGAATATAACAAGACTCTATAAAGTATCACCAATGAGAGAGGTATGCATAGACGCAGAAGCTATACTCGAGGGACCATGAACATCCAAGGAAGGAACATCCCTGTCCCCCATCCTGTTAAGGACTCTAGAAGGTGATCTAGTTGAGAGAAGAGAAAGGAATAGGGCATGAGAAAACCAGAATCCAGACCATTGGGTTTTATCTAAGTGTGTAGCCCCAGGGAGCCATCACATTTTTCATGCTGTTTTGTTATCTATAAATGAAGCCTTTGGCTCCAAACTACAATCTATGAAACCAGCTGCCCATAAGTATAAACAAGGTTGAACAAATCTCCCTACCTTGTAGTCTTCATCATCAGCCAATTTTTTCTTCTTATTGATCCAGGTTTTTAGGTCATCTGAGTCTTGATACAGTTGTTGGAGAAGCAGTGAATCTACCAGCAATTTTCGGCGAGTGGCGGCTCTTTCACGCAGAGCATCACGCCTGGCCAACAGCTGTAAAGCACACACACACACACACACACACACACACACACGTCACACATTGATATGTGAGTAAGCTCACAGCCAACAAAAGCAAATACATACACTTGAGATTATTGCCCACCCTATCTTTCCCCCAGTGTTTTTCCTGATCTCCGTGCCCAGGAAATGCATTGGCTAGTTTGGTCAATTTGTGCAAACGAGAGTCATCTGGGAAGTTTAAACTTCAAGAATTGCCTCCACAATACTGACCTGTGGGCATATTTGTGGGAACATTTTCTTGATTAATAATTAATGGGAGAGGAACTGCTCCAGCCCACTGTGAGCAGTTCCTCCCATGTCAGGTGATCTTCAGTTGTATAAATAAACAAGCTGAGCAAGCCATAGAGTGAGTGAGTGTAGTGCATTCCTCAATGGTCTCTGCTTCAGGTCCTGCCTCCAGGTTCCTACCTTGGCTTCCCTTTCTAATGTATTGCAACCTAAACGCCAAATAAACTCTTTCCTCCAGCAAGTTGCTTTTACTCTACTTCATCACAGCAACAGAGAAAGTCAGGCAGATAGAGGCTCTGGGCCTTGGGCATACCCCATCACGAATAGTAGCAATGTTCTCAGAGTCATAGTGGTCATTGTCAATAAGCTTGGTTGCAGTTTCATCCAAGGTCTGGAAAAAAAATAACAATGCCTTTCTCAGCAAGAGCTAAAGGAGTGGCTACAGTTTGAGCATCCCTTTAAGATAAAGAATATCAATGTGTAAGTCCAACAATCATGAAGGTTAGAAGGCCTGGATCCTAGTTGTGAGTTCTGATATACCTATACTTCAAAGTGAATACCCTAGGCTTGATAATTATCTTTTCTGCACTATAATTTTTTACAGTCTAGGTTATAGTGCATGAATTCAGGCATTGATATGAGTAAACACTGAAGAAGTACTACCCAGGATAGAACCAATCTCATTTTCTTACCGGCTCTTCTGTCTATCCAATCCAGTAATGTATTATATGCATCTTTAGCTATGTGTCTGTTTATAGCTACACTGGGATAAGAAGACAAGAAGTACAGAAGTAAATTTTTATCTATATTGATTCATCAATCACTCCAATTGTTAAAGATCAGAATGGATTTATTAGTTGGGATAGGAAAATTATATAAAGTATGTGATAACACAATTATTCTATACTCAAATTTTTACCTGTGGGTATCTGCAACACATATATGAATTAGTGAAGTGCAAACTTATGCATGTTATTTAGAAGACAATTAAAGATAGACAATGTAGTTCATCATGCTCTTGAAGTCCTTCTTCCATATTGATAAATTTTATGATTGAAAATGAAAGTATATTATAGGCATTCTACATGCTCACAGAACCAAACCCCAGCATTTTAAGGCATGTAAGTAGGTATTATCAACAACAAAGAAGGGGTGGCAATTTACAAGGAATAGTCCTGATGTTAGGTATTGTAGTCACAATAGGGACTTGGTTTAGCGGCAGGTATGGAAACAGTGTATGTAAATAGGAAACACATGTCCATCCAGAACCATTACTTACTATAATCTTTTCTTCCTGGGCAGTGAATGCTTCTTCGAAGTCATCATGCTTTTGAAGAAGGGCTTCTACACTGCCCACTGAGTTCCCCAGGTCCTCATTTTCCAGGAAGGCCTGTAAAAGATAGAAAGCCATATCTCAGATTTTCTCATTGGCAAGACCCTTTCCTCTTGGAACTTCTCAGAGACAAGGATAATGGAGGTAGTCTAGGGAACTGAAAAACAAGGTGAGAAATTGAATAGACAAGGATATTATGTAGAAATTAACTTCAAATATCTCGAGCTTAGATTCCCATCTTTTAATGCTTGCATGCAACTTTCTTACCTTTATCTCTTGGCATAGTCACATGGAATTCTCTCCACTAACTAAATATTATTTAGAGTTCTCAAAATTACCTTCCTTTAAGAAGTTGCTCATTAACCCTGTATGACTTATAATGTTTTTCTGCCTGAGACCGTACCCATTTGATACTCATTTTACTTTTCTTTAGCCGTTGTCAAAAATCTCTGTGCTATATACTTAAATGTAGCTTTTAAGACAGTGTCACTAGGTAGAACAGACTGTTTTCAAATTTCTGGACCTCCTGTGAACTCAGCATCCTGAGTGGTGGGATTGCAGGTGTGCCCACTATGCCCAGCTTGTACTTAAGTATTTTTCTATGCATTTGCACATGAAGGGAATTGTAGCAGCACCCTTACAGAGCTAACCCATCTTTACTTTTTGCCATGGATCATCCTCCAGTTCCTGAGACAACTTTGTACTAAAGAAATGACTTTGAGGATGCTAATAGTAGTCAAAGACATAGATAAAGAATGGAAGAAGTGATATTTGAAGACAGGTACGGTGCTTTCTGTTACCTCTTGTCTGCTCATCCAACTATCCACTTGTTCACTGTCTCGGTAGAAGAGGTGAAAATCCAGGCACTGACGGTACTGATGCTGACACTTGTCCCACAGTTCAAGCAGAGCAGCCCAGTCATTGGCTAGTTTTGTCATCTTAAGAAAGGAAGGGACATTGTATCAAAAAAAATTAACCAATAAATTTTATCCTTCACTTACTGAGCAGCTAATAAATGCATTGCCATTTGAAAAAGGCAAAAGTGAGTAAGAAATGAGCTACTTTTCTAAGGTACTAACACCTTCAAGCAAATAAGTGCAGTATAGGAAAAATAGGATAAATGCCATGAAGAGACATAATATGTTTATATGCTTAAAAAAAGAAGGAAAGATTAATTCAGCCAGGGAGAGCTAGGGAATGAAACTACAAGGATTATAAGGACTATTGTATCAAGAAATTTACAGTTATCGAGCAGCATCAGGGATGAAGAAAAAACATCAAACCACAAGAAAATTATATTGTCAGGAATATGAGCACTGAGGTTATATTGCACTTGGGGAGGAATAGAGTGGCTAAAAGAGGTGGATATTTGATGATTTCCTCACCAGTGGTGAAAAATCACCTTAATTTGAGATTGTATGGAGGAGAGCATAAACGGTACAGGTGCACATCACTGGACTAGGCATTGTAGGGAACCCAAATATTATCAAGGTAAATTCAGTAATGAATTTACCTTCTAGAGTTGGGTGTGAAGATGTGCTAAAATAAAACAATGATACAAGGTGGTATAAAGGTTTCAAATTAAGTGTGACTCAGAGAATTGACGAAGCGATGCCCAAAGCAGAGCAATTGCAATTGCCGATCTTGTGGGGATTTTAAGTGACTCAGCTTAGTTAATGCATACGTGATAAGGACTAGGTGGACTCCAGACACACCATTAACATGTTCAGGTATCTCCTTTTCCCTTTCCAAAGAGAGATTTACAAAATAGATGAGGGCGGACTATATCATTGACACTTCACACACTGTGTGAAAGTAGCTTACCTTCTCACGAATTTCCTCAGAAGCTTCGTGATTACCGTCCAGCAGATCTTGACCAGTCGCATCGGCAGATTGAAATCTGTCATCATACGAGTCGATCTCATGCTGTGGTCACAAAACAGAATGTCACAAATGCAGCAAGAAACTGCTTGGACTTCTCCATATTGAATGAAGTCCCCCATCCTTTCTCCTATTAGGGAAGCCTTTGTCCCCTACCTTATGCTGTTGGTGTCTGGCTAGTAGTGCCTCCCCGCTGGCTACATCTGTAGGCAGCTCATCAGCATTGATCAGAGCAGTCTTCTCCTTCATCCAGCCCGAGAGCTCATCATAGTCAGATAAGAACCGATGGTATCTATGGGGGAAAACAGGATAAAAGACAGGAAGGGGATACCTGATTTGAAAGGACTATGCATGGCATAAGCAATAGCAAGGAAGGTTCACCTTATCCTAATTCCACGTCTCCCCTTCCCCTCCAGTGCAGTAGGTTTGAAGCCTTTCTACACAGGGGCCTAGATCTTAGAGTAGGTGTATCATTGTGTGTGTGTGTTATAATTCTGTCACCATAATGTCACACGTACATAAGAGTAAAGTCTCATGATGCGGCCAGAAAATGGATACATGCCATGCAACTATCAGAGAGGAGATAGAGTTGTGTTTTCTCAAAACTATCGTAGCTAGTATTTACTCTACTAATCAAAAATACTCATAAGATTATTATCTATTTAAAAAGTTAAATATTCATTATTTGGTTATAAATCATAATGATAGCTTTGGTACTATCTTCTATCTCTTGATGGTTGGATTACTATCTCTGAGAATTAACTACTAAAATTATGACTTGTTATCACAGATATTTAGAAGTTTTAACTGATAGTCAAGATACCAGTTTTTACCCTTTAGCTTAAAACCTTGTTTACAACTTTTGCCAAAGTCTTTCCAGTTTTATAGGCTACTTTATAACATCTTACAGCTATGCAGACAGGAAAGATAAAGGCTGTGGTTGAGGGGCATGTATGATACTGAGTATTCTACCAGTTTGCAAAAGGACTTCTTGGACAAACTAAAATATCATTTGCCTCTAGAGAGCAGGCAGGAGAACTGAGAATCCTTTTAAGCTTTTTCTGCTTTGGGACTCCCTGGAAGAGGTAGGACAACATGTGCAATTTCTGACCCATAAGAAGCCTTCAGCTTTGCATATCGGTTCGTGGCCAAGGCACGGATGTGTTCCCAGTTGGAGAGCAGATCCACTTTCATCTGCTGGATCTGCGTGGCATCCGCAGGATGGGAAGTCATCAGCTTGTCTGCTTTGGCACACAACTCCTTCACCTTTGGAATAAGAAAGAAACCTACTAAAAAATTCAGGCACCGTCACCCCTGGCAGAGCTTTATAGAAGAGAGAATAATAAAAGCAATGACCTGAATAGTAATGATTGATAAGTATATTTATATTACAATACTTGACTAATAAAAATATTCTATGTTAATGACAATTTTTAAAATCCTTATTATCCATAATATGTTTTATACTTTACAAGTATTTTCTCATATTATGTTGTTCATTTGATAATATCACAGGAAATATTCTTTTCTTTTCTCTTTTTTGATAAATTATTCTTATTTCTATGTTGTATGAGTGACAACAGAGAAGTGCTGGTTTTTTTTTTGTTTTTTGTTTTTTGTTTTTTGTTTTTCGAGACAGGGTTTCTCTGTGTAGCTTTGGAGCCTATTCTGGCACTTGATCTGGAGACCAGGCTGACTTCAAACTCACAGAGATCCACCTGCCTCTACTTCCTGAGTCCTGGGATTAAACGCGTGTGCCACCAGTGCCCAGTGAGAAGTGTTGTTTTACTCTTTCAGTCATGCTGCTCACGTCTGAAGCAAGGTTCAGAACAAGGTTTATCCCTCATCATCTCTCTATGATATCTCTGTAGATGTTACTGTCTACAGTCAGGAAGGACACTTTTATCCCAAACCTGAAGAAAACCACTTAACCCTTTAGCTCTGGAGATCCGGGATACTATAGTAAAATATAGCACAGGTGACTTTTTACATGCCATTATTATTTCTTTAATTATTCTTAAACACAATCAGATACTGTTGAGAGTTTGAGGTATTGTTACCATTACACATTGTGTCCTATAATTTCAGCATTTATTGTTAGGGCAAAATAGACCAACCACAAAGCAAGAAATGAACAACAATGGAAGTGGGAAGGTGGATGTGGTCCAAGGGACAGGGCTTTATTCAAAGCAGGCAGGTATGATCTTTCTGTACTCTGCCTCTTTGTTGAAAACGTATGGGTGTCTGCCCTAACTGTAACTGAAGTTGTAAAATGGAATATTATGTAAGTTTTGATTACCAACAAGATTGGGTTAATAAATGCCTAATATAGTAAAGCACCTCTCTGGGTGTTTGTGAGAGTGGTGTGTTTCTAGAGACAACTAGAGCTCTAACTAGTCAGTGAATCAATCTCTTGATGGGTTTATGATCTGGTATTGTGTGTGTGTGTCTGGGGTGGGTGTGGTGGGTGTGGTGTGGTGGGGTGATAGAAGGCAAGAGGTTGGCTTGAAGGAAGCAGATTGATGAAGGCATGTTCTTGGGAATTCTATTTAATTCTATGCCTTTCCTGTATTCTTCTCTGTATTTCTTGGTTAGTCATGAAGTGAACAGCTGTTCTCCACCACTTTTTATCAACAAGATGTTCTTCCAAAGCACACAAGGCTAACACATGATAGACTGAAACCTCTGGAATTGTGAGCCAAAATAAGTGCATCTACCCTTAGATAGTTTCTGCTGGATACTGTGGCCACAGTGGCAGAAATATTAGTAACAAAGGAAGAAATGAAGGACAGAAATTGTCCCAGGAATACAGGCTTGCTCTGAGTTCTAGTGTGCCTGTGTCTGTTCTTCTAGGCATATAAATGAGAGGTTTTCATCTTCTAGAAGGGAGTGAACTTGGGCAGATACCCAAAGAATGCTCAATCACACCACAAGAACATCTGTTCAACTATGTTCATAGCAGCAATATTTGTAATAGCCAGAACCTGGAAACAACCTAGATGACCCTCAATTGAAGAATGGATAAAGAAAATGTGGTACATATACACAGTGGATTGTTACTCAGCTGGAAAAAGCAATGGCATCATGAAATTTTCAGGCAAATGGATGAAACTAGAAAAAATCATTCTGAGTGAGGTCCTGCCTTAACTTGACTTTCTAAGGGAGGCCTTACCTTTTCTGAGGAGTGGATGGGGGTGGGGTGGGGAGAAGATGGAGGGGGAGTGGGAGGAAGGGGGGGACTGTGGTTGGTATATAAAATGAATAAAAAATTAAAAAGAAGGGAGTGAAAAGATAGATTTGGATTTTAAAGTCTCTCAGTTTATTATGAAAGAAGAAATTCCTTCCCTGACTTACAGTATGAAGGGTGAAAACCAGGGTCCAACTGCTACAGAAGAGAATGTGTTGAGAGGGAAAACAAATAGTTGCAAAGCGCTTTACTGAGGGAGATTAGTGAATCATTCTTGGAGGTATTTTGTTTAGTTGCAACACATATCACAAAATATGATAGCATATGAAACATATGTGTATGTTTAAATAAAAGTAGTTTGAATATAACATAATGACTTGCAGTATCACTGAATACATATGATCTAGAATGTGGAGGCATACTGCAGTGCCACAGAAGAATCCATCCTTGGTTAAAAAGTGTGACTTTACTGTGTCTTCTTGAGGATGGTGCTAGGCAGGAAGGTCACCACGTAACTTTTATGAGTCTAGGACCAGCCATTTCTCCAGCCAGCAAAAGCTTACCTTGTCATCCATGACAGCGAGATTCCTTTCAAGCCCCTTGTGATTGTGAAACAGTGCTTCCGAACTAACAAGATCTTTGCCATAGTCCTCAGAGGTGAGTAGAGGCTCTTTCTCCTCCATCCACTGGATGGCTTCAGTGACATCCCTGCCAGAGAGTATCATGAACACCAACAAACCAAGATGGCAGGCAGGCATGACAGGGCAAACAGACCTGGAGGACCAGCTTAGTTCCCACAAGTAGCAACTACTCTATTTTTCAACAAACAACCATGAAGTAACTTAGAACATACTTGCTTGTTTTTTCCCAGTGACATGTTCTAGTCCAGGGGATCTATTGATCTGCCGGAGACACTACCCGTGTCTGACATGTGAGAAGTTATTCCTGAATACCACTCATTCTTTCCCTCTGACTCATCTAATTCCTACATGTCCTCTTTGCTTTGTACCAATACAGCAGTTTTATACTTCTTTATTGTTCGGATAACATAATCAAAACATTGGATATCAAGTTGGTCTTTGCTTTCTTAAGTCATTTGTATCTCAAAGGTGAAGAAATGATGGCCTTTGGCTTTTGAGGTACTTTGAGTAATGCCAGCAGGAGTAGGCAGAGGGTAATACAAATAAATCTGATACATGCCTATCAATAGGGCCCAAGGTCACACTTTTTGAAGTCCTTATTCACCTGCTTCCACTTGTGGAATGGCTAGGGTTATAGTCTGTTTGCCTCTACCGTCTTAGTTTAGATGGTGATGGGGATCAAAGGCAGGGATTCTGTTGCAGTAGACCACTGCCCACTGTGCTATACCATCAGCATCATACCTTTTGAATCTTTGGAGGTCTGCAGCATTCGATAGATTTTCTCGTCTCTTCAGAGCCAAGTTCCAGAGACGATCCCAGGCAGCATTTACCTCATCCTGTTTTGCCTTTATCTCAGGCAACTTAGGATGTTTATTCTAAAAAAGTAAACCAACAAAGATGACGCCATACCAAAAAAATCACTTTAACACTGAATTTATACATCACACCTTGTCACACTGCCATATGAAGAAGCATGGTTTCATAGGCAACAGGATACCATTGCCATCACACACACACACACACACACACACACACACACACACACACACACAGTAATTTTTATGGATCAGAAGGGGGAGTCTGTGACCAGAGGTTAAAAGCGGCTCATAACATGTCAGTCCATGGAGGTGCATCTGTCTACTCTCTTACAATGTCACATTTCCTCATATCCCACCATGATTAAGACCAGAATCCTTTCCCTGGAATGCCCCTTTGGCTTCCACCTTACCTGGGCACACTCATCAGCATACTGGTTCACTTTGTCCACTTTTCCCTTCCGAGCTGTCAGTTCTTCTTGGAACTCTTCAAACTTCTTATGGAGGACTTCAGTTCGTTCCCAGTCATCACCCAACTCTACTAATGTCACTATAGCTTCCTGTAAGTACAGAAAAGTCCATAAAATCACCAGCAGAAAAAAATCTAGAAATTATTTTGCAGGTCAAAAGTCCCAAGCCCCTGTTGATTTCTCAGGATAACACAAATGGAGACCCTTCCTGAGAAAAGCCGGATTAACTCTTGGGATGACACATTGATCTGGGGATTTGTCTTTTGGGATAATTCTTTGGTAAGATTAGGGCGATTGTTGGGAGAGTGTCTGGAAGTTCCTTCTATGTTTTAGAAGACCAGTGAACAGTTCTTCCTACTCTGCCTCCTTTGGAATCAAGCATTTGCCAAAAGCACAGCTCATGTGTGTATGTGACTTCAGCCCCAACTGGGGTACTATGCACTGAGAAACAACAGTTGAAAATTGTTTCAGCCAAGATCCAGAGTGTAAGGAAAACCTTTGCATTGGGGAGTCAACAGCATGGGGAGAAAAGGGTGATGAGCATAGATCATACTGAAAGTATGTTAAGTCTTGTCTTTGCCATAATCACACCTGTGTATTTAGGTTTATTCCCTACAACATTAATCTTCAGAATTTCCTCAAATCTTTGCTAAAATTCACCTTTCCCCCAAAGAATGAAGTCCAGAAAGAGATTCTTCAACTACCCAAGACTACCTGAGTAAGCAATAGAGAGTTACTACGGAGTGCTGAGACAGAGCCATCAGAGCACACACGAGTATGTTGGCTTGTACCTTTTCTTTGATCCATTCCAAGATGTCTTCACAGTCCTGCGAGTACTGATAGAACTTCAGTGCCTGCAGCAGCACCTCACTTTTCTCTTGGGTCAACTCCCACAGCAGATCCCACAGGTGGCGAAGTTCCTTCAGATGGGTCTGTAAGCAAGAGAGCAGAAGAGCTGGCCTGGCAAATAGCTCAATGGGGAAAAGCCTTTGCCTTGCAAGCCCAACAACCAGAGTTTGATTCCTGAAAAATATGGTGGAAGGAGAGAACCCTCTGACATCTCTGCAAGTATGCCACATTACGCAGCATGAACACACACACACACACACACACACACACACACACACGTACACCCACTAAGCTAAACCACACATGATCTTCAGTGAGAGAAAATTTTGTTAAAATGTCTTGACATTTTAAAGAATTGAAAACTACAAGCTATCACATGGTAAAAGGGTGGTGGGAAGTTTGCACAGGAGAGGGCTCATTTTGACTGAGTCTTAAGGACAGAAAGATTTCTGTTGGATAGATGATAGGTAGAGAATGTTCTATGTACAGCAAACAGTCATAGCAACATCATAGGAGGAACATATGAACTCTTGTCAGTAAGTATAAAGGCCTCAATTCTTCTGAGTAACTGGTAAACCCTTTCATTAAAACAGGAAGACTATTTTGGGACTACATAGTTTGAAAACATGTAGAAGAACTTGAATGCCAGATTAGATCAGAACATCATGTTCTGCTAATCATGGGAAACTGGTAAGCCTTGTGCTACCCTTTAAAAATCTTGTATCTTTGACTGCTCCATTGCTCTCGGTAGGATATGGAGCACATTTCTTTGAACCCCACTGTGGTGTCCAGTATAACCTCAGTGACGGTAATGGATAGTTGTTTTAAACACTTTTCAGGGTTTGAGGGGGATTAAGACAGGGTTTCTCTGTGTAGCTTTGGAGATTATCCTGGCACTCGATCTGTAGACCAGGCTGGCCTTGAACTCATAGAGATCCGCCTGCCTCTGCCTCCCAAGTGCTGGGATTAAAGGCATGTACCAACACCCAGCCATTTTTCAGACAGTTTTGTTTCATTTTGAATTATAGATTTTAGAAAACAACATCTCACTATGTAGCCCAGACTAGACCTGAACTCACCACCCTTCTGCCTCCATCTCTCCACTGTGGGGTTATAGGCATATACCATCATATCCAGTTTTAAATACTTCAATTAATATAAGGACTTTCATAGAACACTATAATATAAAAGTTCTATTTTAAATGAAAGAATAAGAATTGAGATATTCTTGTTAATACTTTCAAATCAGATTAAAATCTGATTTTCCTAGGTAAAATTATTTTTTTCTTTTGCTAACATTATCATGGGCTAGAATATTTATAATACATATAGAAAGACTAGCCTCAATTGAAAGTTATGTAATAAAAACTGGTTTTGTAATTTAAAAATACATAAGCTAAAATTTTTACTCATACTAAAAGAATATATGAATTAGTCAGAAAGTAGCCGTGACACTAAGAATAGGCACACAGTAGATAATGATTGTTTAAATAACTATGATGCTAAGGTCATGACATCCAAGAAAGTTTTCTGAAGTTGTTAGATTTTAGGGATTTTTGTTTTTTTGTTTTTGTAAATAGGAAGGAAATTATGAGGAATTATACTGTCAGAAATGGGGTGTGTTGTGTGAAAAGAGTAAACCTTCACTGGAAAATGGGAAGAATTCAAAGAAAATTCAAATGGAAAACATTATGAAAGTGTCTTTGTAAAAGTCATTTCATCTGAGAAATGTGGGATAAGATGAAGTGGCCTTGATCTTGACACAAAGACAAGTATAATGACTGCCAAAGGGCATTCCATACCATAGTTCTTTCTCCACCTATGAAACACAAGTATGACCTGTCATTTCTCCTGCCCCAATTTCAATAAGAAACAAGTGTTTTGAGCCCTTGTTCTATGACAGCTACATCAAGTTTTACCAAGCATAATCCCCTGAAACCCTGATAACACAATTAGCAATTAGTGGCTTGACTTTGAGTCCCTACAATTCATTTACCTTGGTGGCTTCATGGGCAAAATGGTCTTCTGCAAATCGGGCTTCCCTGGTTTCTTCCAGTTCAGGAAGTACCCTTGATTTGGCTTGCACCTCTGCTACAAAGGATTCATGCTTCTGATACTTCCCCTGCAATTTGGAAATGAGAGTTTATGAGTAATGAAATGCAGTCTCACAGGAACACCAAGTACTTTTTCTGTTCCTCCTCTCAATTCTAAGCAGACTTCCCACTCCCCTTCTTGTACTCGGCGATTTCCCTTGGTCATAGTAGAAACCATTACATCCTGAAACAAACAAGTGTGTACTCAAGGTAGAACAACTGAACACACCTCCCTTAATCAGAGGTAACACAGATGGTCTTTTCTATTGGTACTTCTTTTGGAAAATTATAAATAAAATAATATGCTACTCAACGGTCCACACACTCCTATATCAATAAAACCATGTAATACATGGAGACACTGAGTTCTCTTTTTAAAAGTACAGTGCACAAAATGAAATTATTTATTAAGTTCATGGTGATCTTGCTCTTGACATATGTGAATTAATCCATTGCACACATACATCACCCAATGTTCCCTGATCAACACCAATCACCAATTGTGTTCTTGCTATGCACTATGCCAACTGATAGAGGTAGAGTTTTTCACCAAAGTGCTTGTCTTGCAACCTTGTATTTGAACTTAACAACAATCATAAGCAACATTTTTGAGGAAAGCTAGAAAAATCCCTGCTGCTGGAGAGAATGGACAACAGTTGCTCTAGAAGTACTGATGATTTTTACTATCTTAAAAGAAATCAATTGTTTCATCATTAATGTCACAATAGTAAAAGCACATGTTATGTCAATAGTTTCTTGAACTCTCAGCCTCTATTTTGTCTAGTAAGCTCTTATAAAATTCTGGCTTGGATGAGTTTTATTTGCAGATAAGATTCTGAAAGTTTAGAAATACAAGATGGAGATAACGTAGAACTTTTGTCTCTGGTAATAGTATAATCTTTCTTTGACATCTACATAATTATAAGAAGGTGAGTTCTGAATGGGACTTCAATGTGATACAGTATTTCTGTATTTTCAACTGCTGATATAATGTCATTTTGTTTTGGTTTCCTTTTTCTCTTCTGTCTCAAATTTCCAACACGATAAAGAAGGACCAACTTCAGCCTTTTTCTTAGATGAACTTACAAACTTCCCATTCCACTATTTTGGCTTCTTTCTAACATAGGATTAGTTTGTACTTACACACACCCTTCAACATTAACATAAAGAAAAGCCCAGTTAATTTTCTAGATAATATAGGGTGAATTTTGGGAACATCTGTGGTACTAAGTCACCTGTATATTCGTGGGTTCATAACTCTTATCTTTTGCAATCTCAAGCTTCTCCATGATCCACTTCTCCAGGTCGTCTGCATCTCTCCTGAAAACTTGATAGTGATAAGACTCTTCAAGCTTCTGACCCCTCTCAGCAACACGTTCCTTGAACCTCTGGTACTGGTCTAACACCTCCTGTCTTCTGTGCTGGATTTCTTCTGCTGTTTCCAAAACCTTGGGTCCACTGCTTTCCACAGCCTATAAGTTAGAAAGTATCATTATGTTTTGAAACACTATTCTGTGTCCCAAAATATGTATGTATGATTATTATGTCAATTAAAGATTATAAGAAGAAAAATAAATGATGCCTCTAATTGTTGCTATTTCTCTTATTTATAATGTTATCCTTCTTACATATCCCAAGGCAGTCTCCAACATTGAAAATATATTTACACATTGTTAAACCTGTTAATTCATACTGTTTGAGGGGCTGTAACTGTATAATTTTAACTATAAATAGCTATTGCTTAGATTAATAGTTCTTAATCATCCAAAATATTCTACAGAAAGAATGAATTTGGACTGATGAAGCAATATCACAAATTTCAGATTGATAATAACAAAATGCTAGTTTATATTTTATACCCTTCAAAGGCTAAACACCATTAATAAGTGCTGATCAGACCATAAATTTAATGAATAGTCAGGGATGGTTTGCAATTAACTTAATAAATTACACACACACACACACACACACACACACACACACACACACACCCATGAATATGTATCTTCTTTAAAAGTATAGATTATGTATTATATATTCTTCTTATTTTATTAACTAAAATTATCTAAAAATATAAGAAAGTTTAAATTCAACCTGTCTTCTACTCACTTGTCACCACTGTAAATTATTAGTGTTTCAGTATTGTTTTTTAGAATATAAAACATTATATTATTATCAATACAAAATTATGCTTTATTTTATAGAAATCCAGTTGGTGTAACAATATCCAGGAAAATTTCCATAGGGTCATTTCTATAGTTCCTATAAGAAACTACTTCTCTTGTTTCTTAAATCTAAAAAATGCAATGCAGAAGTTTATATTTTAATGTTTCTTTATTTTTCAAAAATAGTTTTCTATGGCCCAGTAATTACTGAGATGACTATAAAATTAAGCTATTCCACACGAACACAAACTATTAAAGGTATTATTTGGTCTCAAATAACCTAGTTGTTTTCTTTAGGAATTATCTGACTTTAGCAAGTAACTGCTGAATTTTTATTAGTATATAGGTATAAAGTTCTAGGTTATTTTAAAAAGCAAAACATTCACAAAATATTTAGAAGCAAAATTTTCTACAACTTTAAAGTCAAAAAGTGTGATTTTTAGTGACCCTGTGAAGATGGAATGGAAAATTCAGAAGAGATAGCTTTCCTAATTGCATCAGGGATGAGAATTCCTCTACTCACAGCTTCCTTTGAAGGGTGCTCCATTTCTCCCCAGAGTCTGAAAGTTTGCTAGATGAAATGTAGCTAAAAGAGAAAAAAATGTTCTTTGAATGTGTAGTCCACCTCAAATAGGAATGTCAGAAACATGAATGTGGCAAAGACCGAGAGGAAAAAACAAGTTTTAGAATCCCGCCAAGCATAGACAATCAGCATTATCTCCTGGGGACAGTTTCAGCTGAGGCAGTGGCTGACTTCCACAGACAAGGTGACTCATCAGTTTTGGGGGCTGTGGCTCTCAGGGCCTCAATGGGAATTTAAAAAAGGAAAGAAAACAAAGTTCACAGATGCAAAAGTACTCCAGAAAAACAGTGACAGATGAAAGGCAAGTGGCTGTGTTGGCTTGTGTTTTATTCAGTATTAGCTCTTAGAAGGTCAGAGAATTTATAAATCAGGAAAGAATTCCAGGTTGCTCCTTCTTGGACTCCACACTGGAGAGCTGAGGGAATTCAAAGACGTGACTTTCTTGTTCTGATCTCTTTCTAGGAAGTACATTGCAACCACTTTGCCAAGACCCAGCTTCATGTATTTAACTACCTTTTGGTCAATAACTTAATTCAAATTTCCTCCCGGATCTTTCTAAAAATTGAGAGATTTTATGTGTGACTTCATAGATTAAATTCCTAAAAATATGATCCAGCTGTACCTTTAATCATTCAAATAGAAAGTACAGAACAGTAAGATATGTGAATATGCTTATTTTAAAGTTAATGAGACAATATTTTAAAGTTAATGAAACAATAATCATATATATATATATATATTTATATTTACCAGTGTTTGGAAATGCCTTAAATATGAAGCAGAAACGATACCATTTTATACATATTTAAGGGGGTAGAAATTCTTTCTAAGATAAAGTTCCTTTAAGTTACTTTATTAAAGAAAAATAGGTAAACAAAATATGATCAAACAATCACGAAGCACAAAGGTGTTAGCCAGCTCCACCCATATCCCCTTTGCTCTTGTTGCTTATGCTCTTGTTCCTGTATCCCAGAAATCATTGTCAAAACCTATGTCATAAAGCCTTCTCCCAGGCTTCTTTCTTCTATCAGTTTTATATTACACTTAAGTCTTTCACATAGTGAACTGAATTTTGATGTAATTTAGGATGTGTCCAATTTCTTTGTTTTTGTGTTGATATTAAATTTTCAAAGCACTATCTAGAAAAGACTTTTTTTTTTCATGACACTCAGTCCAGTCCAGTCGATTTGGCCACTGTGTGAGTGGGTGTGGGTGTGGGTGTGGGTGTGT